CCCTCACTAGATCTGCTTTCTCTCACTCTCTCTCAGTCTCCACGATTTTCACGATTCCATCTCCGTCGTTTCTTCCCGGCGGCGGCAGCTATGGTTTCCTCCACCAAAATCAAATCCGTTGATTTCTACAGGTCTGATCCTCTCATCTCTCTGCCATTTAATTCCGATGGATGAATTCGCATGTGTGAATGTATATACATTTTGGATTCTATGTGATTAGTTACGCATTTGATTATTCGGAATTCATTGGAATCCATTTCGCATTTCGGCTGTCGAATTCTGCGCTCGTTTTCGTGTTTTTGATGACGAATTGGTAATGATTCGATTGTTCTTGTTCAGGAAAATTCCGAGAGATTTGACAGAGGCGTCTCTATCAGGCGCTGGTTTATCCATTGTAGCTGCTCTCATTATGGTGTTTTTGTTTGGAATGGTTAGTTCTTTTTTTTATTAACTTAATCTTCTTTACCCTTTTTTCTAATTGTTTAGTTTGGATCGTTTTCCAACATGATCTCCTTCAACAAATCTCTGTTTGATGAACTAGTCTTGTGATATGTTCTGGCTAGTGGATCAAACGAGTTTCTTGTAAGATTAAGATATGATCTTTTATCTTGCAGGAGCTAAGTAGTTATTTGGAAGTCAGTACTTCCACAGCTGTAATAGTTGACAAGAGCGCTGATGGGGACTTCTTACGCATTGATTTCAACATCAGGTAAGATATTACGCAGATGACTGGTTAATCGGTATTATTGTGTGTTTACAAGTAGAACGAAAGGTGCCAACAGCCATTTGGTTACTATGCTTCTTTTTCTCTCTTGATATTGATATCTGCTCTAGACAGTGAACATGGATACAGTCACTTGAATCATAAAGATATGGTTTTCTTGCCGAATTATTGCTTTGATAGCTTCAAATTTTCCTCTTCTATTCATTTCTTTTCTATGTCGCATGCTTGATCCATATGAGGGGATATGGAATGGTTTCTCTATAAGCTGACATGTGTTTTTGTTTCATACTTTTTTTGTAGTTTTCCTGCCCTTTCATGTGAATTTGCATCTGTTGATGTGAGTGACGTGTTGGGAACTGTAAGTCTCTGCTCACAACTCTCATTCTATTTTGATGATCACATTCACATTGTGAGAGTGCATTTTAATGTCGTATGATTATTGTACAAAAAGCAAAAACGCAAAAGGACTGGAAAAGCTTGAATCTTGACATTTTCTTAAGTATCAGAGAATAAATCTTTGGTTATATGGTAATCCATATAAGCATTTTGAGTTGGTTGTGCAATGATGGTTTGCATTTAATCTAATGTTTACCGATGCCATTTTTATTAGTAATTGTCGTCATCAAAGTAAGGTAAACTTAATAGTACCTTCCTACTGCAAAGAAATTAATAGAATATCGTCTGCTAAGCTTTAATCATGTCGTTGAAACTTCAAGCTAATCACCTTATCCCTGAGTCCTTGTTTCAGTTGTGCAGAACTTCTTATGTATTCTGTTAAATGCAAAACGTAGTGCCTTTAACGAGCTATGATGTACACACCCTGCATATTATTTATATAATTAGCTGGGGCGTAGATCTAATTATGATGTCTAATTTTTCAGAATAGGTTGAATATAACAAAAACAGTTCGCAAGTTTCCAATTGATCCACATTTAATGGCCACTGGCACAGAATTCCATTCTGGTCTTGCATTACATCACATCAACCATGGAGAAGAAACTAAGGAGGAGTTTCCTGATGGTGCTATACCATTAACCAGTGGTAGTTTTGAATCATACACACATCAGTGAGTAGGCAGCTTCTTTTTTTATTGTGCATTTGTAAGTCTTGTCTGAGGGTTTGAATGTCGATTAACATGAATTGACTTTCTTATACAGCTTTCCAATATTGGTTGTTAACTTTTATGCACCATGGTGCTACTGGAGTAATCGTCTGGTAATTCTCTTACTAATTTCTTATGCCTCTTTTAAACTTTCCAATTTCATGGTCGTTTTCATCTGGTATGCAAGCACTTATGGTCCGGTTCTGGATGTACTCGTCATAACTTGTTCTTTCTGCTTGACCGAGGGAGAAATAATCTGCCTTATTACGTTCTTGACTATTACCTGTGAATATTCAATCAGGATACGTGAAATCCTCAGACATGTCATTTTTACAGGGAAATGAACTTTCTTTTTATCTCGTGTATTACGTTTTTGTTATTCTGTGTTAACGAATTATAGATGACAATCTCGTTTACTTGAATTAGACGTTGGTCAAAATATTTTGTAGCTTTTACGGTTACCGCAGTACATGTCTAACATTGAGAGCTTCGTTCATCTTTGGTTATGATGAGTTTCTTTTGTATTTTGTACTATTCGCTGCAGAAACCGAATTGGGAGAAAGCAGCTAATATTATAAAACAGAGGTTTGCAATAGACTCTTCTGCGTGTTTATTAAGTTGTGAAATTCTTATGTGACACTGGCTGATACTTTCTTTCTATAACATGGTCATGCTAATATTCTGCTGCAGGTATGATCCTGAATCTGATGGGCGTGTTCTTCTAGGAAACGTTGATTGCACAGAAGAACCTGCACTATGTAGGAGGTACGATGAAGTTGATGTTATCTTCAGTGATCTTGTTGTTTTGGCTTATGTAAAACTTGGTTACTTGTTCTGAACTTGCTGAGAAAAGCTAGCTCGTTTCTTGCTTTTTTGCTCACCTTTTTAATGGCTGTCGTTTAAGGATGCATGGGCAGCAGTGATTGTCACTCTTCTTGTTTGATCTGACATAGATTGTGGAATATATTTTTCAGGAATCATATACAAGGCTATCCATCTATTCGGATTTTCCGCAAAGGCAGTGACCTTAGGTGAGAAACCATCTAATAAGATGTTTAAACTGCCACTAACATAGTTACATGTCTTCTGCTTAACCTTTTGTGTCTATGCGGCGACAAACTCGATTCTGTCTCTCCTAATTTTGTTCTCAGTACAGTCAAATGTTGACACGTGCAATCAACACCGTTGAATGTGTTCTCGATTTTAGCTTGCTTTAGGTTTATGTGAACATTCTTATGAAAGTGTTCCCTGTTTTGTTGTTCTCAGAGAGGACCATGGCCACCACGAACATGAATCTTACTATGGAGATCGGGACACAGACAGTATAGTTAAGGTAGCTCAATTTTGTTCCAATATCAGGAATAAATTAGTCAACTTTCACATCTATGTTTATGTGTGGGTTCGTTAGTTTGTTTAGTTATAGAAAAACGGGTAGCTGTGTCTGTGAACTGTATACATGCACACCATATTTTTATGCTGAATTTTGAATCAGTTAAGCATGTTCTTCTAAAAGTTAATATACAAGGATTTTCTTTCTTCCAGATGGTTTACGGACTAGTCGCACCTATCCACCCAGAGACTCACACGGTTCTATCCAATGATACAGTAAAACATCTTAAAAAGGCACCAGTTACAGGAGGTTGTAGAGTTGAAGGTTATGTGCGTGTAAAGAAGGTAAACTTTGGACTAAAACAGAAGACTGAATCAATGTCCATGTAATTGATTTGTTTTTTCACAGCTTCCCTGTACTGGAATTTGGTCTTTTGTATGTTTCAGGTTCCAGGAAACCTCGTTATCTCAGCTCATTCAGGAGCTCATTCGTTTGATTCTTCTCAGATGAACATGTCGCATGTTGTTAGTCATCTTTCATTTGGGAGGATGATTTCTCCTAGGTTGTTGACAGATATGAGGCGATTGTTGCCATATCTTGGCCAAAGCCATGACAGGCTGGATGAAAAAGCATTCATAAATCAACATGAGTTTGGTGCCAATGTTACTGTAGGTCCTAAAGACTGTGAATTTACATTCTTGAACCTTCGTCAACTTTTCTTTCATTGACCCTTATCTAATTATTTCTTACACTATAACCACTGTATCAGATCGAACACTACCTTCAGATAGTCAAAACAGAGGTTATTTCAAGAAGATCGGGTCAAGAACATTCATTGATTGAGGAATATGAATACACTGCTCACAGTAGTGTGGCTCATACTTACTACTTACCCGTTGCAAAGTTTCACTTTGAGCTCTCTCCCATGCAGGTTCATTTCTCATTTACACAAACGACAAAATATCTCTCGCAAATGTCTCAATATACTCTCCTCGTTGTAGTTACTCATTGGTTGCTCTGCTTATGCAGATCTTAATAACTGAAAACCCAAAGTCCTTCTCTCACTTCATCACAAATCTTTGTGCCATTATTGGTGGTGTTTTCACAGTTAGTATTTTCTCTATCTGCCTTGCTTCTTCATACTCTCATAGTCTCATGGAATCCTTGGTGACTTTGGATTATGCGTGTTGGATTTTTTCAGGTCGCGGGAATACTAGATTCAATTTTCCACAATACAGTAAGACTGATAAAAAAGGTCGAACTCGGGAAAAACATTTGATCGGCTACTGGAGGTTAGAATTTTCCATTAATCTATTAAACCACAGAAAAACCTCAGACTATTTATTTTGAATAGCTGTTCTACACAAAGAAAAACTAAGAAAGAGAGAATTTTTGTTTGACACTACCTTAGTTTCTTTATAATTTTTGGTCTTTCATTTTCTGCCCTATTTCTTTTCTTTATCCTTCCATTTCTCTATATATAATATAGATGACATATCAGTAATATGCACACAAGTAGAACTTTTATTCATTTACATGAGAAACAAATGGGTAAAAATCAAACAACACACCAATTGACACAAACTTGGG